GGGGGGGGGGGGGGGGGGGGGGGGGGGGAGGCAAAACGCAGGTGGTGGTGTTGGTGTGATGTTCAACTTTCGTACCAAAGTTGTTCGACTTTCGTGCCATAGTTGTAATGCAATAGCTTCACGCACTCGAAGTGCCGACAACGATAACACCTCGCGTGGTCGCTTGCGCTACTGCCCGTTTCAATCAAAGGTTAGCGATCCAATCCACACTGCGCGCCGGTTCTTGGAGCGTCAAGAGTCACGCCCCTCAGTGTTCCACAACTTTGCTGTGCCTTTTAGTTGCTTCATTCGAACGTATCTTTGTCCTTGTTTTCAGTTATGAATGGCCCCACTTCCCACTAACACGTGCTGCCCCGCTGCCACTACAACCGCCCGAGTCTAGACAGGCGAGGGCCACGGTGTAGTGGTTCGTGATTCTCAACCATGATCGAGAAACCAAAGAAGGGACGCTATTGTTGCGCGCATCAGGTGCTTCTGCGCCGCCATCCTTCCGTCGTTCGGTGGATGCACTACGCCCGACGCGTGTCAACAAAGGAAGGAATGAATGCCTGCCCGCGGAGGATGCCGCGTCGCCACCGCTCTACCTATTTCCCATCCTTCGCCCAGTGCAACCAGCATTACATCTAGTGCCAATCAAGAAAATCAAAAGTCACCTGGGGGCTGCGGCTGGGCTCGGCCCGAAGGGTCTGGTAACGGCGTGTGCTGTTGACGTGGTGGTCCCCGTGCCTCTGGAGCTTGAACAGCACCATGTTGGTCAGCCGGTGGGGAGCGTCCCAGCTGTGCTCGAACCCGACCGGCTCCGTCCTCCCCTGCTCGTCTCGCTTGCGCTCGAGCTGCTTCCATCCATCCATCCATCCATCGATAGACCGTGTCGCAAACCAGGCGAGCGGCAATGGAATCGATAGGGAAGCATTGTGGTTGGGAGGGGGCACGGGGGCGGCGGCAAGCGTGCGGTGGGGGCATTGTGTTCAGGCTCTCTCCGCCAAGCGCGTGAGTGGGGCAAGCTCACACTTGCATGCCAACAACATGCTCTCGGTCTTGCCACCGCGTTCGGCAACGTTGTTCATTCACCGTAAGTCCCGTCCCGCGGGTAAGTTATCATATTCCAGATGCGATGGACACGTACATACATACCACGAAATCACCACCCTTTTTGTCCACTTTGTCATCAGGTCAAGCGACCAAAGTGTGCAAACGGTCAAGACTTGCGTCACCGCCGCTGCGAGGAAGCTACAAAATGTACACCGGGCGCAACAAGAAAGGCCTCCAGTGCTCTTGGGTGTCTCACCCCGTAGTGTTCGACGTAGTTGACCTTTGGTGACGGCGGGTGTGGTTGTGGACGGCAGGGGCACGAGAACATTCACAGTCCCATGTCGTAACGTGCGCAATCGCCAACGTAGCCGGGGAGCGAAAAGAGGACACGGGCGTGAGTACGAAAACGACAAGCGAGTGGCAGGAGACGGGGAAATGCAACAGCGGAGGAACCAATACTACCTTGGGTCATGAAAAATCGACGGCAGTCCCAACGCACAAAAGCAAAGCAGGCTCTCGATCGAACTGCTCACGCGGGACACAACCACTCCTCCCCCTCCCTTCAACTCTCTCTCTATTTCTCTCTCTCTGCCGAAACCAAGGCTTTCCGATGATGACCCCCTACACGTGTTCATCCCGTCGCCCCAGCCACCGCCTGATCTGGTGATGACGCACCGACTCGAAGAAGAAGATTCCGATCAAGCTCTGTCCCACGAACAGCGGGATGGTCAGAGGGCCGAACATCGCGGTCAAGAGGGCGCAGAGGCACGAGGAGGCTACCCAGTACCTGCCACATGTCACGCGCCCACACGCCAAGCGTTTTAGCCGCGAGACACGGGAGGAGGCACAATGACCCACGATCCCCCGAAAGGGCAAGGTGGGTGAGGAAGCGCTAAGGGCGTCGGCTTGTGGCGTTGAGCGGTTTCAATGCAATAATGCCGAATTCCGCCTCCCTCCCTCCCCAAGCGCCCCAGTGACGAAGGAAAACGATTATCGCGATGGGGGGGGGGAGGAATTGACGAGTCCCGGCTGCCTTCGGGATGCGTGGGTCTAACGCACGCGGCCAAGCATGCGTACCCCCCCCCTCCCGAGTGCACGTCCCCAAACCACGCTACCCCCGACAGCCGCGCATAACCGGATCAGTTGGAAAGCCACGTTCAAATACACAAACTGCTGTCCTTCACTCTATTTCGCCTATTAATAGTGCAGCAGCCAAATCAAACCAAACCAACCCACCAGAGCATCTCGTTGTGGTAGAACGGGAGGTTCCTGTCGCGGAGGCGGTCGGTCTCCAGCCTCCACGCGCTGGCGAAGCTCCCCACCACGCAGCGAGGCAGGAACGAGTAGAAAGACTCCCCAAACCTGGCAGGGCGGCGGCGACCGGGGGGTGGGGGTTCGATTGAGCCAGCGCGAAACACATGGGCGTAAGGTGGTGGGTGGCCTGGCGATGGGGGGTGGGGTTTCAATTGAGCCAACGCCAACAACACAAACGCGTTGCAGTGGCCTGGCGATAGTGATCGGCCTTCGATTGAGCAAAAAAATACAACATCAACGTATCGAATTTTGGTGAAGGTTTCTCGGCGATCTGCCCGTCCGCCCTGTCTTGGTCCTCTCCGTTTTCTTCTCCCATTTCCCCCAACCGGGGGCGCGAGAGCGGCAGCGAGACCGCCGGCAAAGGGCAAGCAAAGGAAATAAGGAAGGCTGCGGAGCGAGGGATACCTTCGCTGTATCTTGTAGGGACCTAACTACAACAACAGGCTAAAACGGGTTTTGAGACGGTGTGGTTGTTTTGTCGTGGTCGCAAGGGGTCAATGTCGCACCGGCGGTAGCAGGTTGACCTCCCCAAAAAAAGACAAACGAAAGGAAAAAAAAAAACGCCTCCTAATACGTGTTCTGCAAGGTAGCCACCGTGTGTTCTGCCGTTGTGTGCCGCGGTCGGCGAAGCACAGGGCGACCTACGAGAAAGCGATATGCCTCAAATGGTAGATTCTGACTAGCTGCCGTGTTGAGGTGTCGCACGGCGGTGTGCACGGCATGCGCTGCCCTCTGCCGGCCCGCGTGGAACCCATGCAGGACGGCAAGGATAGACACGGTTGTAGCCTACTGCTGTACCTCGCGGTGGCCGGGTCCTCGTCCGTGGCCACAAGCTTGTGGTGTCCCCTGTTGTGCTCGACGTAGAAGTGGCCGTAGCTTATCATGACGCACATCGCTCGTCCTGGTTTCCCGCGAGGAAGGAGGAGGAGGTCCAAACAAGGGTCAGCAAATATATACCATATAGCCTTTGATGTTGCTGCTGTAGGGGATGGCAGGGAACGCGGGCTACACATCAGGCGGGGGGGAGCAAAGGGGGCAACGTATTTATCCGCCGACAGCAACGTAGCCGTGTGGCCAACGCAGCAGCAGAGCGCGAAAGAGGGCGGCGGGGAGTAAACGTTCGTCCCAACAACTGAGGAAACCTGACCGTAGCAACAGTACCAAAAGGAAATACAACTACAAACATCGCCAACAGACACAACACGACCGACAGTGAGCCTCTCGGGTCGTTAATAGTCTTCGGCGGGTGTCCCCTCGCTCCTCACCCAGCCACTGCTCGATACGGTTGGACTTGTGCACCAGCTCGTGGCTAAGGGTGATGCCGATCCCGCCCGTGTACACCGCGACAGACACCACAAAACCTGACCACATCACCCAGACAAGGGCAACAACGAAACAGGTATTCGTGGCGAGGGAGGCAGCGGGAAAACGACGAAAATAACTCTCAAGGTCCCCGTCAAACATGGCCAGAGGGCAGCACCTCGTTCCCTCAACAGACGCGCGATGGATGCATCAAGAGGATCGATGGATGCATCAAGCCGCTGCGTTCCTTCAGCCAACAACGAAACGAACAAAGTGATACTTTTCGGGACTGGCCCGTCGAAACCTTTTGGTCCTCGTTGCCACAACGGTCGTGTAGAGGGACGGAAACGCTTGTTTCCCGACATGCGGCGCCAATTGCTGCCCCCCCTCACCGAAAAATTCGAGGGGCGTCAGAGGGATGGTGTTCACGGCGTGGCAACCGTAGGCCAAGAGAGCCAGCTGGGCCGGAAGGAATATCCAGGAGGCTATCCGGAACCATTTCCTGTCGATCAAAGCCGTCGGGGGTTCGGGAAAACGGTATCCATGAGGGGGGGGGCGGGTCGAGACGGGAGGGCGTCGTCGGTCTTGCTTGCAAAACTCTGGTTGTCAGCTCGGGAGAAAGATGGGGGACGGCGACTGCCTGAGTGACCCTTCATCAACGCATCACTCAACTTTATCGCGGCGAAGTTCTTTCGCCCACCCTGCGGCGCGAAAATCGAAAAACTGACCTTTCTCGCAGGACCTTGTACTCTGCGTCCCGCTTGTTGAAAGTGTCCACGCCCACGACGAAGTCGGCCAAGGGTAGGAAGAAGAACGCCCAGTAGAAGCTTATCGCCGTCCACCCGCCGCCCTGTCGTTTCGTTGTCGGCGGTGGCGGTGCGGCAAAGGAACACGTGTTCGGGACGGGGTGTCAAGCCACCACCACCACCACCACCACCACCACCACCACCACCATCACCGCGGCAGAGAAAAAAATGGCAGCAGAGTATGACAGAAACAAACGCGGCCTGTGCTTTGAGCGGCAGAGGAGAAAGCAGCAGGAACCAGGTCCATAGTTGTTAGGGTTAGTCGAGACCCGCCGGGTCATCCCACCCCTCCCCCGTCCGACAGCACGAACAAGTGCCTGCCCTACACAAAGGGCGATGACACAACACACGCAGGCACGCACCGCCAAACCGTTCCGCGCCGCCACGCAAAAACCCGCCACCCATACAAGTACCCTTCATCCCTTCCGTTTGTTTATTTGCCCCTATGACGTGCGTAGACTGTAGACTGACCTAGCATGCATTGAAGCAGGAAAGCAGGTCTGCACGCGTACATATGTATGTACGCTTATCAAGAAACGCTTCCCGTGTGGCGGCCCCCCACGCACCTCGTGCACGCCCTTGACGGCGAAGAAAGGGATTGCCAGGTGCATGAAGTACGGGGACGGGCTGTCCCCCGAGTCTGGGATGAGGGCCGTCGCCAGGAAGAGCGCGGCAACGAACCTTACAACGCCACCAAACACGAACAAGGGGTTGTTGTTGTTGTGGGTGTGGTTGTTGATGACGTTGATCTTGGGATGCTTGCTGCCGCTGGTGCTGGTGGTGCTGGTAGTGCTACTGATACTGCTGCCCTCAAACGTTGAGAACATCCTGCCCTCTCTGTCGCCTCCTCGATTCTACGAAGTGCTTCTTCTACTTCTGGTGTGGTACTTTCCGTGGCCCTAAGCTCGACGAATCCGAAGGCACGCCTGAAATCCACGGTCGTGAGATAGTAGATCGTGAGACCAACGACATGGCAGCCGTAATCTAGGTGTAATACAACCACTCTTCCAAACACCGATGGCGAAACGTTACACGGTTTCAATGTGAGGGCTCCCCGTCTAGTAGTTGTTTCTACCACTCGCTGTCGTTGTCGAGAACGGCATGTTGTTGACCATTCGCCTGCATCAAGCTCTATGTACTTTATCCCTTCCAGAACACCACCACGCTGCGCACGCGCACATCACGCCCCGTGACTCTGGCCCGAACGAACCCAAACACAAGTATTACTAGTGTGAGGAGCCCACACAGCAAAGGTGCGCCTGAGCCGCACCCATATCCACAACATAAACCCACCCTGCGTACACCCAGATGTCATACTCCAGCAGGAACATGGATCCCGCGATCAGTCCCACCACCCACGCTTGCCAGAGCCGGGGACACAGGCGAGCCATCCCCGGATCGGGCCGGGGGTAGTCCCTCAACGCCCACCAGTCCATGCCCGGCACTTCCTTCGACCTGCCGTGATATCGTTAGAATAAACCTTGTGGGATAAAGCACTACGCATGCAAGTAACCAGGGTTCATCACTGCTTTGATGTCGGATTCTTGGAGGGCACATGCCATACGCCACAGCGAAATCGCAGAAAAAAATCGTGTCAACCCTTGTGCACTACCCTCGAGGTCCTTAGATGGCACATTCTTTTGGCCTGCTACTGCTGTTACTTTAAGTTCGCCAAGAGTCCACCTCTGTAGTCTACACAGTATAGTTGATAAAAAAGAAAACAACAGCAAGCAGTTTCGTCTCTCACACAGACGCTGCGGTCCTGGTTTTCCATGCCATTTCTTCGATCTCATGTTGGTAGCGTCACGTAAGGAATCCACAACACTGGAGATTCTGGCACTAACACAGAAGACTGACTGCGAAGAAATGAGAAACCTGGACTGACAAAAAGTGCTGAACTGCGTTGTACAGTTCGTACCGTAAGGTTGCGAGTCATCGCACGGTCCGGAGTCATCGCACCGCTCGAAAAAATGGCTTAATGATGTTATTCGATTTCCGGGCAGGTCTGGAGTAACCGCACAGGGGTGCGATGACTCGCAACCTGGGGTAGTTGAGTGCCCGTGTTGGCATGTCAACTCTGCTGTATCATCGTCGCACAGCACACGTGGAGGTATGAAGGAAATGAAAAACAACGGAGTTTTGTTGGATCGGTAAACTTGAACACCGTCCATTCAACCAAAACACTTTTACTTTCCAAAACACGAGAACGAGAAAGAAAAACAGCAGACATAATCCGAAGGTTGTGAGTCGCGTGTAGTCACAGCTCGACGGCGGGAAATCGCGTTTTCCGCCCGCGCGGGATTTCGTGCTTCGCCGCGTTTTATTTCGCCGCAACGGTTGTGGGTGTGCGTGTCTTTCTTATTAGCATCGAGGCGCTAACCGGCTGTGTGTGTGTGTGTGTGCTTTCTCAAAAACCTAGCATCCACCGGGCTAGCTGCTGTGGTTCACTGATGTGGGTGTGTGTGTGTACGTTGCGTGTGGAGCCTGCAACCGCAGCACAACTGAGGTGTCCGTGCGTCTGCCAAGATTTTTCGAGTACCGCACATACCGGAGTTACCGCGCAAGGGGTGTGCGTTATTCTTGATAATATGATAATATCACCTTCAGGGTTTACTCAAGGACCACACGTACCGGAGTTATCGCACAGGGATGGGTGTTATATATCAAAAACCAATGATTTAATTCGATGTCCGCACAGGGCCCCGAGTCATCGCACGGTCCGGAGTCATCACACCCTATGCGATGGAAAACTAAACGGCGAAAATGCTTACAAAACGACCGCACGGGGGTGAAATGACTCGCAACGGTAGTTTACCAACAACAGCACGGCGGTGTCTCTCACACAGACATCGCGGCCCTTCTTCCAGGCCAGTTTTCCGATCTAATGTTGGTAGCCTCAAGCGAGGCATCCACAACAGCGGGGATTCGGGCACCAACACAGAAGATTGGCTGCGAAACGAGAACAAAACTCCAAAAAACTGGACTGAAAAAGCGCTGAAACAGGCGTTGTTACGGGTGTACCAGTCTTTAGTGACGTGGTGACCAACTCGATCTCAGACCTCAGCGTGTTTCCTTTCGGGTCTAACTAGTTGTATACACTCCTCCATTGTTGCGTTGTGATACTGCCGTCGGCCGGTGGCTTCGCACTCAGCTAAGGGCGAGATAATCCTTGTGGTCCTAGACTATGTCAATATCGCCACCAACCGACAAGTTGAAGTTCTGTTTGTCATCATCAGCCGCACACTTTGGTTTCAATATTCAAAATGGAAACTTTTCGACACGGGCCTACTGCGTGGTATGACTGAGGACACGACAGCACCAAACCGCCCTCGTTTCAAGGCGAAGGACTGTGATTGACTTACCGCTTCTTCGTTTCATTCTGCTGCCGATCCACTATTACTGCTGTTCCATCATCGCGGGTGACTTCCGAGTGCGGAGGCATATCCTTCTCAGCCCCTGTGCGTGGTGACGAGAGCTCGCAGTTGTCGCTGGTGGTCGTCCTTCCTTCCCTCCGATGTGTGTCTTATTCTGTTCGTTCCCCCTCGCCCGGGCCCTGTCTCTCCCCCCCTCTCTCGCCTTGCAGCTGCCGGCACTGCTGAACTGCCGTGCTGTGCTGTGCTGTGGGGCGGTGGGGCGGCGATCGCTTCCCTGATTTCGCCGCATATTTGATTTCGTGGGGATTTCGCCGCACATTACCAAGGAGCGTTCCAACACGCCACGTCGTATGCTACAAACCACCGCTGTGTGCTGGCCGTGTGCCCCGGACACGTTCACCTACCCAAACCCGCATCCACCGCTGAAATGCTCAAGCTTCTCCTCTTGGTCGTGGCACTCGCCCACGACGGCCGCGCGGCGCTGTTTGATCAGGAGGTGGGTGCGTGTTCCGAGAGGTCCGCTCTTTGTTGTAACATGTACTTGGCTGCTGCTGCGATGAGCTTCAACAGCAATCAGGCCGTTCGGCCATCGTTGCCTAACGGTATGCCTTCATGGGCAACATGGGCGTCTCTAGTTGTCTTCATTCCCTGCCTTCCGCCCACTCTCTGGTATCAGCGCCCTCGCCAATTCCAAGCTGGAACTGCTGTGATTGTCTTCAACCTCGACCCAACACACACCCGGTGTACCCACACACCTATATGTAGGAATAGCACATCTGCTGTACCCAAGCTACCTGACTGAGGCGCAACAACTACAGCGGAGAATGCGCTGTTGCAAGCTGCCGCAAATGCGATAGGCATGGCCGCAACTATCCAGCAGCGTTGCATGGATAACTAGTTCCTAAGCCTTTTCGATCGTTGGCCTGGTCTACAGCAGTGAAACTAAAGTACAATACAGGTATTCTGCTGGACACTCTGTATGGAGCTATTTCAAATGAGTGAATGCCGTTTGCATTCCACCGTCTCTGGTAGTCGTGTTGTTTGGTACCAATGTGATGTGCGGTGCATGTACACTAGACTAGACTAGTTCTGACGAGGCTGTTGGGGAGCCCTAGTGACACGGTCACTGCTCTGCGCCAACGACGACAACAGTCCAATGGAAAACGAAAAAAGCCCGCACCACCCCCCGCCACCAGAGAGGGAAACGCTCTCAACGGCCACGTTGTCTTTCCCTAAAGCGAAAGGTGAAACCATCCCAGCTTCAAACTGAAGGTCCTGTCTAGGACTCTCCTTTGGCCACAACGTTCGCCGGATAAAATGAAGTATGCAATATGCATGTACATACATACGTTGTGTGCCCGTGGTCTGTCCAGCTCCGGAGCGCACACTGGCTTGGCGCCCCTCCCCCGTAGGTAGTTGCCCGCTTTCTGGACCGAGTTATTGGCTGTTCTACCGGGGAAGAAGCGCCCCTTGCTGCTACGTTTGCTCCAAAAAGCGGGGAAGTCCATCCACCGTAGGATAGCAAAAAGCCCACGTGATGCTCGTAGGAGGTCAAAACAGTCGGAAAATGTAGAAGGTTTTCTCGAGTCCACCGGTCCCTTACCACAAATACGCTGTTGCTCCCACTAACCCCCTGTTCCGGGATCTCGTCCCGTCCCACCAACAACGTGGGGTGGCTTCACGTCCCCGCGGAAACGACTGCGCGTGATGCATAGCCCCGCTCGCTGACGGCACCCCGGAATAACAATCCATGCCGAGGCACGGCGGGCGCTAGAGGGGCACGTCCCCGAAGCCCCGGCCGCCGCTGCTGCTACGTTGCCGGCGCTACCGGTGGAGTGCCGCTGCTCGGGCCGCTCGCTCGGAGGGGGGAGCTCCCGCGGTCGCGGCCACACGCCGCCAACGCGCTTGTCGCTGCCGATCGAACGAGGACGAGATTGCGCTCATCGAGGAGGAGGCTGCGTGCGGCGCACCCGGGCTGCAGGTCGAGCCGACCGCGACATGGCGGCGGTGGGGGATTGTTGTGGTCGTCGTCGTCGTCGTGGACCTCGTTGTCTTCATCGCGAAGTCTGCGGGCGGGCACGGCGGCGCGATCGCCACGTTTCAGCGGTAGTAGGCTTGGGGGGACAGCGGGGCGGGATGGCGACGCCGGCGGAACCCCGGACCTTGTTGATCAGTCAGAAGACGAGGCCGCGGCGGCGGTGGCGGCGGCGGAAGCGGGTGCGGCGGGAGGGTGGCAGGGGTGGATGGACGGGGCGGTCGCCAAGGTGAAGGAAGCCCTGCCGGAGCCGAGCGAGGCGAAGAAGATCCTCCCCCTGGGATTGATGCTGTTCTTCATCCTCTTCGACTACACCATCCTCCGAGACACAAAGGTACAAACGTGTTCTTTTTGTGCCTCGTTCAGTTTTTTTCCTGTCTCTCCGGTTGTCTTGTTCCCGCCAACTTGCCCCTTTTGTCATGACGTGCGTGTGTTTTCTGCCTGTTTGTTTCGGCAGTCTTGGAGAACGTGTAGTTGCAGCCGAAACATCTCTCGTACTCTCCTTTGTTTCGTTTGCTGTGCTGCTGCCTAACCCAGAAAGAAGTTCGGCACAGGGGGTGGCGTATGTTGCATTGAGTCCCAACCTAAACCTGCGAGGCGGGTCTGGTGGCCGGAGCCGCTCTCCCGCCCTAACTTTTGACACACGCTGTCGAACACTACGATGAAGTATATCGCCAACGCTCCTGATAGAGAAAGAAAGGGTTGGCACCCGTCCCGTAGTGTCTTGCGTTGTTTTAATCTCGATCGTGTGCTGGTTCCCCTCTTCCCGCGCGTAGCGTTAGACGCAACCACAAGCAGCGCTGCTCTGCGCCGACAAAATAACGCAGGAGGAAAAAGCATGTACTCCCTCCCCCCCTCACGAGAGACCCCCTTTTGTTGGTTCCCGTTATCATTTAGCTGCGTACCACTGGACTGAAGGTCGTTTTTATTGTCTACACCCCCCCCACCCCTCACTATTCTCCGCCGGCGGACCCCGCCACATATACGCCCAGGACGTGCTGGTGGTGACGGCTCCGAGCAGCGGCGCCGAGGTGATCCCGTTCCTCAAGACGTACGTCAACCTTCCCGGCGCCGTGGCCTTCACGGTCCTGTACTCCAAGCTCTGTAACGCCGCCGAGCAGGTTTTTGCCGTCGTTTATTGTCGGAAAGATTTTTTTTTTCGGCGGCCGGCACACTGTTCGCAACCAGCAGCGTGGGGGGGGGGGATCGAGGGTGACGGGAGTGAGTGACTGGACTGACTGGCTCCTCGATTCCCCCGTCCGAAGAAACGGCATCCCTCCCGCCCTGCGTGTTGTGTCCGTGATAGTTGGTGGGGGCGGGTGTGCTGTTTGTGTAGCGCGCAGCAGGTGCCTAACGTGCTTGGAAACCCTGTGCACGGTAACACGTGGTGTGCGTGTGCTGGTAGATGTTTCGCGACGGTCGATGCGGCGGTCGATGCGGCTGCGGCCCTTTTGCGTCGTCAAGGGGCGGGGACCGGAGGGGGAGGGGGTTGCGGGACAACGTTGACCGCCCGAAACGTCACGCGTTTTTGTTCTGATCTGTCTTGTTGTGTTCTTTGCGGTAAACGGTTTCATCTCTGTTTCCGATGACCCCGAAACGTCACGCGTTTTTGTTCTGATCTGTCTTGATGTGTTCTTTGCGGTAAATGGTTTCATCTCGGTTTCCGGTGAACTCACACGCACAGGAGCGAGTGTTCTACACCGTGATTGGCTTCTTCCTGTCCTTCTTCGCCGTCTTCGCGGCCTTCCTCTACCCGAATCGGTAAGATGGCCGGATTAAAGTACCACCGCTTACCTCCGCATTGTACCAGGCAAGAATTAGTATCCCGAGCTCGCCACGAGTAGCGGAGAGACGGGCTCGTCGATGATGCGTGGCAAGTACCTCAATAGTTTTTCACTCGAACGACGGCTGGCGCCCTCTTCGGTGGCGTCTAAATTGCTGGCCTCACGCCGACGCCACCGTCGACGAAGTCTTTGCCGCATGAACGCACGGACAAAAACATCCGACGTGTTTGTGGAGCAGTCACCAAAATTCACGTATTGTGTCCTCACACTCGGGAAAAACACTTGCCTCGACTCCCAGGGGGGGGGGGGGGATGCACCATGCCTTTTCCGCCCCTCCCGCGGTGTAGTGGATACCTGACTCCCTCCTGCCATGATCGAAACCCATCACAACAGAATCCCATACCTCCCTCCCCGTGAAGCTGAAACTTGAAGAGCATGGCCCGAAATGTTCGGCCCCGTACCTGTGTGAAGTAGAAACGGCCCTCCCCGACAAGCAGAGATGCGCTGCCGTCGTTGGCCCCCCCCCCGGTGTTTGTCATCGGGGTTGGGTTTTCGTCGCTTGGCAACGACGTTGTAAAACACGCCAATTCACTTCGTGAACTCGGCAACCAGGTTACCGTTTTTTGTTTTACCTCTGTTTATTTTTTTGGCGGTAACCATAATGGTGGTCGAGTTGTACGGGGTCGAGAACCTCTACTCCGCGCAAAGGGGGATGATCGCACCACGTTGTGTTAAAATGGTCAAGCATCCTCGAGGCAGTTACACAGTGCTTATAACTGTCTCTGGAAGTGAAAGCACCAGAAATAAATTAAGTCATACGCAGCTGTCATCCGTACGCAAGGAAGAAAGCACAAGATACCGAACACCCTTAGCAGGATGCAGCGCACCCTTCATGCGACTCGCCGAATACCTCACGGCGCTTCGCGCTTGGTGATGTGAGAGCCTGGTGAGAACCCGGCGTGCTCCGTCCCGGCTTCGTAGGGATGCGAGGTCAATGGTCTAACGACTACGGCATGCACGACTATGAGTATGAGTACACCTCTCCCCCCCCCGTCCGTCCGTCCGTCCGTCCGTCCCACCTGAAGGGACGTCCTGAGCACCGCCGTCCTGGCGGACTCTATGCAGGCGTTTCTCCCCCAGGGCCTGTCGGCGCTCTCCAGCATCGTCAGGAACTGGACATTCTCGCTGTTCTACCTCATGTCGGAGCTGTGGGGTTCCGTGGTAGTCAGCGTCTTGGTGAGAAGCGGGAAGGCGGGAGTGGGAGGGACAAAAAAATATCTGATGAATAGTTCTCCGTGTTTTTGGCGGTGAATTGTAGCTCTTGGTGTCACCGGCGGTTGGGTCGGGCGTGGAGGGGGGTGCTATATTTCACTCCCGGTGGCTGTTGCTTGTCCTTAAGCTTACCCCCTTTTTCTTCGGGGGGCATGGGGGCGAAATGGAGCGATTCTGCGGGCACGTCGTGCAAATAAACCCCACGGTATATTGTTGAGTACAACGGCATGTTCCTCTGAACCATATCTACCGTATTGCCAGGTAGTACAGACCGGTCATGACGAGGTCACTATTTCGGGTGCTACTACTCCACCTGTTGTGGCGAAAGTACAGTGTCTCAAGAAATAACTAAGGGATGCGTGCACGTCATGTGGGTTGATTTCCCGGTTCCCCACCCATCTTTCCAACCGTCTCCCCTCGCGACCCTCCCCCCCCCCTTCTCCTTTCTGCCTATCGCCCTCCATCCCGCTGCTGCTGCTGCTGCTGCTGCTGCTGCTGCTGCGTTTCCGCCCTCCGTTCCTCTCAGTTTTGGGGATTTGCTAACGATATCGTGTCCGTATCGGAGGCGAAGCGATTCTACCCTCTCTTCGGGTTGGGCGCCAACCTAACCCTCGTCTTCTCCGGGCGTTACATGAGGTGAGGTGACAT